TAAAAAAAAATAAATCAATAAAATTCTGTTGGTGGGTGGAGCTGAATCAATGGTTGTTCAATCGGTAGTTCAACTGAAATCAAGTATTTCCGTCAGTCTCCGATATTTGCTGAACGTCTTTGTCTCGAAAAATCCCTTTAAACGAGTGTAAGGTTGATGGGGTTCTGAATTCTAGGAGGCTAGTTAGCGCAGGGTGCATCAGAACCCTATGCTATGCTAACCTTACGCTCGTTTGAAAGATTTTTTCGGGACAAAGCCAGTGGTGTGGTCAAAATGCCAAAAACCCGCCACCGTCGAGAGAAATCGTCGAAAACGCGTAACATTAGGTCATTCGAAAGAGCTTGTCAAAACTTATCTTACGGTGTGACTAAATTACTAACTAATATCTTGCCGATATTTATGTATATTTACAAATCAATATAGAACGGAATGCGCACGAAATAGGGACGAAGAGAACGGGTTTTGGACGGGCTCAGGACACACAGGACGGGTTGTGAACGGGTTGAGGACACACAGGAATGGTTTTGGACGGGTTGTGGACACACAGGGACGGGTTGTGGACGGATTGACAATACACAGGACGGGTTGAGGACGCCCTGCGGACGGAGTGCGGACACAACGGCATGCGACTGGACAGGCTGTGGACGGAGGGGACCGGTCCAGGACAGGCGAGCCACTGTAATTCGAAGTGTGATACTTTTCACACATTTTCGTGTGATAAAACGCGCCGTGTGATTCCCACAATTTATCACTCGTGGGGAAGGGGTCAATTTTTATCACAAATTTTATGTGATGCCTATTGCAGAATAATGCGATGATTTCGGATTTACTACAAAACGGTGTGAGTGCACATCGCACAAAACTGTGATACATAAAAGTATCGCTCAAATGATTGATGGTCATCACAAATATTAGCAATGAATTTAATGTTGCACTTTTCCTGCGATGATCATCACAACATCGTGCTACCCGGGTGGAAGGATCTTCACTTATTCTCTAGGATGTTTCTGTGTTTTAAATGTACCCATAACACGAGTTAAAATTGTGAAAAAGGAGATAGTAAAGTGTGTTTAAACCAGAATTAGACATCACTAATACTGCAAAATTCTTCAGTTTAAGTATAGAATTTATTACTTTTAGTACAGAAAAACTTTAGAAAAACTACCAGTTTTTTCGGACTAACTATAGTTTTTTGACAGTTTTACGTTAGTCACTTAAGTACTTTTATCTTCAGTTTTTTACTAGTTTTATGTGACAAAACGCTATAGTATCAAATATTTGAAAAGTATAGAGTTCAAAATTTTGTTCAATTTTTTTTCCCTTTGAACTCTTTTCTTATTTACCTGCATCGCTTCTTAGCTCGTAGTATTTCATATCAGATATTACATTTTTACCTTGCGGATGTTGAAGTTGAAGGTCGGATGTTGACTGGAGTTGAACCTCGGACTTTCGAGTTGGGATCCCGACACGCTGACCACTGAGCCACTGCGACAGCATAGCTCTGGTGCCACAGCAGCGCAGTGTCATGCCAAGGGTCTCAGCCCGCCGAGCTACTGGTCTAACTACAGTTAAACTACAGTTTCTCTGTCATTCAACTGTAGTAACTACTGGGTTCCTTAGTTTTGCGCGTATTTTCCCCTTGTTTTTGTCCTCATGAATAACTTTGTAATGATGAATTAACTGCAACTGGCGTTCACATGCAAGTGCTCAACACAAGGATGTACACTCTTAAGGATTCGACTGGATATTTGAATACTTTAGAGTTTTTAACATTAAAGTTATACACATAGAAGTGTTTTAGTTAAGGGTTGGCCCTTAAGCTTTGGCTACATTAAAATGTTCAAATTTACTGTTGAACACTTGTAAGTTCGCAAATTTCCAGTCAAACACTTAATACCTTGCACCATGTTGAACACTACCCGAGACACTACCATCAATGTCAGTATGCCAGTTGCACACTTATTTTGTTTTCAGAGAGAACCCGGATCCTTTACAGAAGTTTTTTCAAATCCCAAACGCATAGCCGAACGCAAACAACGCCAAAGTAATCTAATGTGGAAAGATAACAAGTAAATTCACCAAATTTTAGTCTAGCATTATAGATAAAGTTCTCACCTATACTTCCCCTATTCATATAAATAAAAACAACAATTTCAACTGTGAGTAGTGCCTCCGGTTGTAGCATTAGTACACATAGCAGTGGAAAGTATAGCTGTATACTAGAAAAGAAGTAATTCACCGACAGCGCAAAATTACTCGTCCCGATATCTCTGTTTAGAATGGTATTCCAGCGTATTAATTGTGTAATTTAGTATACACTTTTACTCAGTAGTTAAACAACGGGTGGAAACTTGTTTTTACAATGTCTTTTAACTAAACTCGCAATTGCAAATTGGAACTGTAGTATGTAACAACATGAAAAGTGCAGTCCGACTGCAGACTAACTGTTTACAAAAGCCCAATACTGCAGTCGTGAATAAACTACAGAAATTACCCACTTTTTTCTACATTATAAATGGAGTTTGATATCTTCAGTTTCAACACTACAGTTTAAACTGTACCGTCATCAAGTTCTAGATAAGATAGAAAGTCGCTATTGGTCTTGTTTTGAAGCTAAATGTATGTTTTAACAATTAAAAATGCTTCTAGCGTACCTCTGACCTATTTACACTCGATTTTATGGCTTTATCAGTTTGATCATTTCAGCATTTTTTTGTAAACCGGAAACTTTTATTTACACCAGCGGTTCTGGACGTCCCAAAGTCGCAGTGTATATTTTTTCTGGTTGGTATATGTGTCTAGTAGGCATGCATAATTTTTTCCGGCCTCTATCTGACCATGGCTGTGACCTAAGATGAAAAAAAAGAAGTAGTGCACTTTTGAGGACGTGAGCGCACAGTTAAAAAAATTTGGAGGGATTTTACAGAAAAAGTCTAGGCATACTTAGTGCCAATACATTGTCTAGTAAAATTACCATAGTCTGTAAAATTACAGAACACTAGTAAAACAGATTCCGGTTTTTATATGGTAATCATTTTCCCATGATATACTGGTAAATTTACAGGTCTGTTCTGTAAAAGTTTTATCATACATGTAAAGTGTGGTAATTCTAGAAAAGGAAAAGAAATTTCGTTCGCCTCAGAGTTTCCGGAAGTTTCTGCCCTTTGCCTCCTATCCTTGCCTACCTACCTCACCGTATTATACAAGCAACGAAGTAAGCATTTAAGTGAATAACCAATTACCTTGACCCGGCGGGAGTAGAACCTCGGACGACTGCGTTGCGAACCCGGCACGATAACCACTTGACCACTGGGACTTGTTGGGAGGGATGCTCGACTGTCCCCGTGTGACTCGACAGCCGGGTGCCGGGTGACCGTAGCCGACCCGACCGGCCGGGCTTGGGGATTATGTGACCCGGCAGGTACACGGCATACCACGCGCCACGCCGCGGCCCTCAAAGCATTAATTTCAAATTCCAGTTGGTACTACCCATTTTAATTGTTTGAAGAACATACGAAGATGACTGTAGTTCTAACTGACTGATATCTTACTGCCTCCTTAACATATTCTGTTGGCTACCCATCTCCAGCCTGTCGACGTTGGAAGGAGACAGGACCTCGGCCCGGGGCCCAGGGCCAGCCCCAGGCCGGGATTTCCACCCAGCTGTTTTGGCGTTAGGAAATTCACTGATCGTTAATCTCACGCCGCCACTAACAGGGCTCGTGTAAGTGTCGGGTCAGTTCCTAGGCACTACCGGAGTCCTCTCCTTGATTTTTACTCAAACCCGAGCCCAATAATCGAATGCACAGGTCTAGAATTTTCTGTGTTAATCTGTAAATGTTAGCTTAAAAAATCTTTCGAACAGCACGTGCAAACACGCAACCGAATGCTGGTTCTGAGAAAGCATTACTTTCTGTTATACAGATCAATTCAGTATTTTTACAGAAATTTAATAGAAGTGAAATGTACAGGCTCTAGTAATGCTCCATGTTCTCTGTAATATTTCAGAAGATATGTCGTACTATTACAGCCATTTGTAAAATTACCACACATTTTGGGGAAAATTACAGGGTTTCGGTAATTTTACTAATACTTTTCTGTAAAATTACCAAACTTGTAAATTTACAGAAAACATTTAGTAAATTTACCATACTCTGTAAAATTACCATAATATTTCTGTACCAGATTACAGGTATACTCTTGTAAAGTTACAATTTTTTTTAACTGTGCGGGGTGACTTTGGCCACGTTGGTTTTGATGTGCAGACCCTCAGGGGAAAAATATTTTTGCCTTTTTGGAATGTGTTTATGTAACTCATAGACGACATTAGCGGTTGGGATAATATTTTTCAGGAATACATGAATTTCTATTGATTTCTACGATTCCTATCACAAATCCATGAAAAATGGTGCAAAAATGCCTTGGTGAAAAAATATCGAGATTTTTTCGACTTGAGAGCATAAACTTATTTCAAATTTGGGACTGAATAGACATCGAATGGTTTGGAGATAGTCTAGAAATGGAATCTGGGTGAATTTACTTGGTAATGTGGAGAAAAGACCACAAATTAGTAGATGGGCCAAAGTGGCCCCTCCGACGGGGGCGGCTTTGCCCACCCCATTTTTAATTTTTTATAAAGAGCCAGATTCATTTAAAAAAAATTCTGCTAGGCGTATTGTCGAGTCGAACCACAGACCTGACTCATGCCAAAAACTCAAATCTCTGGGTCTGGGACACCTGGTTTTGAGTCCACAGGGGCTCAAAGTTCGAAAGTGGGCCAAAGTAGCCCCAGATGACGGTAGTCTAAGTGAAGATCCTTCCACCCGGGTATGTTTCTGTATCACATAAAACGTGTAGTCCGTATCACACTCTGATTTACAGTGAGACGACCTATTGACAGACGGCATGGATTGCGGACACCTTAGCCTGCACTGGGCGGGCAGATGACGCAAAGGACGGAATAAAGCATTTCGGTAAAGCTGTAATGAGGAAAAATTGCGAAGAAGAAAACAGAAATCGCCATGCTGTAACATGATGACGTCCGTTTTCTTGTTCCTTGCATACTTCTGCATTTTAGCTTTACCGGAATGCCTTATTGGCGCGAAAGTGACTAGAACCTATTTCGGGGACCTGGTACCCTGATACCGCGTTGGAACTCCATCGCACTGGAAAAGCAAGTGTGACATGTTTCACATGTTGCCACGCACTCTCAATAGAGAACGCTTCTTGATGCACTCTTCTCTATGTAAAAGGATAGGATGCATCACAGTGAAAATTCATTAGAAAACGTCTTCTCTGGAAAGTGCATCAAAAAATGTGACACATGTCCTGTCAGGTATTCCAGTATAACCTAAAGTTTCACAAGACCTACGTTCGGGATTGGGATGAATCTTCACCCTCACTCCTTGAAATAGGAATAATATCGAACTATCCATCAAGAGGCCACACTGCTCTCCGCCTCTCTTTATCTGTCAACTAATCAAACTCAAACGGTGATTCAAATGCACGTACCTCAAGGAAACGTAGCCACAACCTGGATGTGCCTGGCAAGAGTGGGTGTCCACGCCTGAACAGGACAGGACTCTCAAGATATGTCGCGTAGCAGCCCTTTACACCGTGCAGAGGGCACGTGCCGTCCCGGCGCTGTACGACGGATCGGTAAAAATTGTACACGTCACTGCAACAACAAACAAAGAAATCCAAAAAACACTGTAAATCAGTGTGTGATACAGACTACACGTTTTCTGTGATACAGAAATATTGCGCTATGTTGTGATGATCATCGCAGGAAAAGTACAATATTAAATTCATTGCTTATATTTGTGATGACCATCACTCATTTGAGCGATACTTTTATGTATCACAGTTTTGTGCGATGTGCATTCACACCGTTTTGTAGAAAATCTGAAATCATCGCATTATTTTGCAATAGGCATCACATAAAATTTGTGATAAAAATTGACCCCTTCCCCAGGAGTGATAAATCGTGGGAATCACACGGGGCGTTTTATCACACGAAAATGTGTGAAAAGTATCACCCTTCGAATTACAGTGAAATGTTATGTTAAATGCACTTTAATCTTCCGTTTTTCAACCTGCCCGTCTGCTTTAGGAATACCAGGCCATTCCAAAATAGAGGTGTACATAACGGTCGTCAAAAAGAGAAGCAGGCCCGCCCTTCCGCCAATCAGAGTGGCCAGGCGGCGATGGTCAGGCCTGCAGACCGACCATATCCGAATTCCGTACAAAAATTGTTTGCTGAGGGATAAGCGAAGCCCATTCCTCTATTGGCCACACTGAGAAAAAAGTTTGGTGCCTGCGATAAAAACTTTGGTTTGTGGCTAGGCAAGCCATCAAAATTGATAAATTTCATCCTAGATCATTTCGACCCTCGACGAAAGAACTGGCGAAATACGCGAAATCAGAAAAGAACGTTTCGGAACGGTTCTAGGCGGCGCCTTGTTGGAGGGCGGCCGCGTAGGGAGAATGGTGCTCGGCAGCTTGTGCTCGGCTCCAGTTCTCGGGGAGGGGGGCAAGTGATGGTGATGGCAAGGTGATGCACGCAAGCTTCCTGAGCCCAATGCACTTTGAAACGACCCGAAAATCGCAGCGGTGGCTGAGATATGGCGACGAACATCTGCCGCGACAGCGGGTCGGGCGCTCACCGCAGCCTATCCATAAGCCCCAGTCTCTTTGTTGTCACGACCGAATAGCTTAGTCACTATAGGCTTGACTGAAGAATTTGGTTACACTACAGCTGAAGTGTAGTCGGCGCGAATGTCATGCGTCCACGACTGGACGGCGCTCACACAGAGTTGGCTCAAAACTACACTGTAAATCCGAGTGTGATACTGACTGCACGTTTTCTGTGATAAAGAAATATTGCACGATGTTGTGATGATCATCGCAGCAAAAGTATAATATTGAATTCATTGCTCATATTTGTGATGACCATCACTTATTCGAGTGACACTTGGAGGCATCACACTGTTTTGCAATAAATCCAGAATTATCGCATTATTTTGCGATAAATATCACAGAATATTAGAATATTTGTGATAAAAATTCATCACTCCCCCAGGAGTGATAAATCAAGGGAATCACACCGGGCATTTTATCACACGAAAATGTGTGAAAAGTATCACACTTTGAATTACAGTGTAGCGCCGGCCACACCTCTGGCATGCATCCGCTCTGGCTCAGTGGTTACCGTCACCGCTCAGTGAGCGGCAAGTCTGGTGTTCGACCACTGGGCGGGCCCGGCTATGGGTTCAAATATCGGCTTGATTTCACGTTATCATTTGTTCGCCGCCCCCGCATTATTTCGCGTCCTGCTCGCGTTTATATGGGCTTCATTTCGCCTTCTATTCGTGTCGCCGACACGAAGAAGAGACAAATGAAACACGCACGTAGTCAAGAAGTGGCATCCTCTTGCACCAAAGAAGGCCGAGCTGAAGGGTCAACAGAACATTAAAAAGCGACTGAGCACTTAGCCCCCTTTTGCGTTTTCTTCGAGTTTTCTTGGTGTTTTAAATGCGTTCTTGGACTGAATTGAGCAGGCTGCATCTAGTCTAATACGCAGGTTCTGTAACGTATTATTTTGACCTCACCTGGACACCAAAACAATGCAAAAAGTCGTCAGAGATTTTGACCCGGGTTGGTAGAGGTATATACTTAAAAGAAAGTGTATTTAAGAAAATGACAGAGAAGGGGGATAAGCTGACCTTGCTCTAAGGTTACACAATAACTGCCTGCTTGGGTGCACTCTGGAAACTCAGTGTCGTACAGTATGACAGTTTAAACCGTCATACCAACTGTATTGCAGTTTAAACTGTGATACCATATTTGTTTTCTACAGTTATAAGTGTAGTACACGACGTGTACTACAGTTTCAGGACACCGCGTGTCCGACAGCTACAAATGACGCTTTTCACTGTCGGACACGTCGTGTACTACACTTATAACTGCAGAACACAAATGGTATCAAAGTTTAAACTGCAGTACAATTGGTCTGACAGTTTAAACTGCTATACTGTACGACACTTGAGTTTCCAGAGTGGAAATCTTCCAAACTACTGTTTGGCTCAAATCAAAATTAACTAGTCAAAATTAACAAGAAATTTTTCCTGGGATCATAATAGAAAGAATGCAAGGTGAGTGGTTTTAAAACAATGCCCTGCTGTTATTTGGGTTCTATGTTTATCAAAAATAAATAATAAGAAATCTCTTATTTTGTTTTAGACATTATGCATGAAGGCAACTTACAGTACAATTATGAAATTGCTACAGCCAATTGAGCTGCCTAAACTTTCGACGGCAGGATTAGAAAAAAAAAATCGAAGAAGTGAAGAAGGAGGTTGCAAAGCGGACAGTGGCAGTCTGTGAAAAAGAAATTAGGACAAAGCTGACTCATACCACAACCAGGCACACGCAATACTGACTATGAATGAGCAGGCATTACTCAATCGGGCGTCAACCAATCTATCACATACATTGTTTGTAGATGACATCAGTGCTGTGCAACCACTACCATGCAAGACACATTTTATTTGTGTATTTCTGGGGCGACCACCTTCAAAGTTCCCGATGTAGACATACAGGCGTTTACAGGGTGGGCCACAGACCCCTCCCATAATTTTGCTATGCTGTCCCGGATGCAGGCGTGCGGCCGGGCTGTATTCTCGCACGGAGCTACAAGGCGCAACGGCGAGCTACGGTTGGCAAGCTCGCCCGCCTGCATACGGTAAAAAAAGGAAAGGGCCTGTGGACCACACCTAAAGTATTTTATACAGCAAATAACTCATACTTGAGACCCATTCACAGTTGTGTTTGCCACTCACATTTACTTTTCAGAGAAACACTTTTTTTCATCCAAATACATATTAAAAATGATCAAAGTATTTTTATTGTTGTTACTATCATCATCCGAACCGTCTATTTGGACCTTTTTTTTATTAATAGCTCTAAAAACTTCCCGCGCATTGGGTTACGTGTCAGACAAAATGATAAATTTGATCTTTATGCCCTCCGCTACAGTCCTGACAACAAAATTTGTAATTTCGTCCCCTTTACAATATATTTAAACTAATAATTACTGAATTTGGGCTAAATTTAATGTTCGGCAAATATTGTAATAGAAAGTCACACCCCCGTAAGATCCGTACCAGTTACATGGGGGCATGAACACCACCACCCCACGGGTGAGGTGGGGGTAGGGACAGTCGACATGGCTACCCGTTACCTGGGGGCATAACATAACTTGGTGGCATCTTTACTGCTGTCGCAGCGAAGTTGGAATGGCAACTCATGGCTATGAACATTTTGAGACTCGTACGACGCACTAAGAGAACTGCTCACATGTTTTCGAGCATAGCGGAATCGTGTCGAGTTACAAGACCCGCCAAAAAGCTGTCCTCAAAAGCTGCTGCGTAACTCTTGGTTGCCAGTGAGCTGGACGGGCCGATGTGATCTAGAAGTCGGTGATGCACGTCCTGGTCGTTGCGAAGCAACGTTAGAGCCACCTAGCAAAGGAAAACAGAATTTAAAACTCAGAAGCACTGTGAAATTAGTTTGTAGTGGGCGGGCTTCACCAACCAAAAAAAAAGCGCTAAATATCATGTTTACGAACATTTTGGCCCGAAGTAGCACTTTTAATTGATAGCCTATACGCGGCTAAGGTGATAACGTGCGAGCACCCGTGCTCTGATCCAGTGTCATATTCCTTCCGCATGTACTGGCCTGCCTTAGGCCTTTGCCTTAGCCTCGGCCTAAGCCATTCAGCTATCAGATGTGTTTTTTTTCGACTCTGATTTACAGTGTTTCTTATCCCCAATTGCAGTAACAACTTAAGTTATACAAAACAGGACAAAAACTTATTCTTCATCAGTATGTACGCTTGAAAGTGGAGAGAAGGTCGCCTCACCTCGCACGATATTGAGAGGGTTTATACTTACCTCAGGCATGTTAAGGTGTAGGTCTGAGTCCAGAACCTCTGCGGCGGTCTGAATATCTGACCATAGCTTTGGATGCGTTACCCTGACGACAAGCTCCGTGTGGTAGAATGCGGTCAGGAAAAATGAGGCTAGCAGGAAAGTGGCTAGTACGAATTTTGAGCTGTAACCTCCTACAAACAAAAATTCGGCATTATTCCAAAAGTTGACATAGTTCATTAGGGTAATTCCGCCAGGATGGCACGGATCGGTTCAGCGAAAACGTTTCTCGTTTATCTCAAATATATTGTCTGTCAACCTTCGCCGAGGTGATTTTGCCGCGTCAGGTGAATACTTGAGCTATATTTTAACTATTTTAATCAACAACATCTGCGAAGAATTGGTATTTTATCAATAATTAGCTATAATCTCACTTTTGTCCCCTTCGTCACACCGTAACTTATTTTCAGTGTTTACTTAATACAGTCATGTGCCCTAATTTCGGACCAGGGCCCTAATTTCGGGCAAAACACGAAGAAATGCTTAAATTAACATATCTCAGCCAATTCTCATATTCAAAATCCGAAATCTGCATTGGAAAGACGAGATCCTACAGTGCCAGAGGATACATTCTTTTGGTGTCGGTACCTTTTTTCCGGTAACGCCCACAGAGCTTTGAAAATAAAATTTGCAAAAGAGAAATCGCGTAGTTTTTAAGAAGGCTCTCCGGAAGTCCGGGGATCGGGCACTTTAGAGCTGCCCCAGTGCTGACCGTTTCACACACTAATCAACAGACAAAACGACGTTTTAAAGTTTTTCAGTGGTCAGACCGTTCCTTTTTTATGGGCTACTTTATGAAAATGCTCCAATTTCGAACAAGTGGATTAAATTGTAGTGAAATTACGTTTTCATCGCAGATTTTAGTAAGAGACTACTTTTTTCGCTACCATGGAGGTGCGCAACGGTACTCTATATCCCCATCTTCTCAATTCCCTTTTCAGATTTCAAATATTGGAAAAGACAGCCAAGATAGGTGGAGTTTACCATTTCTTCTAGATTTTGTACGAAATTCAAGCACTTTGTCTATATGCAGCGCACGCTACCTTTAAGCATTTCGCACTCTGTGCGTAACAATAAAAAATCAAAATGAGTGTTATCCGACGGGTCTTGAGCCGTAGTATTTAAAGAGGAAAAAAATCTGATGAGTTTTTGCGAAATACAGACGTGTCCTAAATTAGAGCACTTTCAGTCCCTAATTTCGGGCAGCCTGTAAATGGCTGCTGTGGTTTAACCATGTTGACCTATAAATTGGACACGGGTATCATTCGATAGGTCCTGACCCATAGTACATTGAATCTCAACAGATTTTTCACTGTCTATCAGGTGTGCAGAAAACAGACGGAATATCACAGTGACTTAATTGACGTGTCTCGGTAGGAAATACTTACGCTTTAGTGTATCGTAACCTGGCGCAGACCTTACCCAGTGCACCGATATTGAATTCCCAGAAAGGATGCCGACAAACATGAAAAGAACTTGAGATATGTCACGAAACGAACTGCGCCCTTCCTTCACAAAAAAAGATAAATACAATTATGGTCGGCCAGCCTTTCTTCGAGTCTTTCTTGAAGTTTGTAGTATTGTACTATAGGAGGTTTCCGAACTAAGCGACAAATTAAGGTCCCTAAACCGGCCCAAAAACCCTATAAATAGGTCCCTATTAATTACGATTTTTGGTCGGAACGACCTTGTTCTGGATCGCTGGATCAAAACTTACAAGAAAAAAATGATTTTGGATAGTCATAAACACACAGAAGTTACATTTCGAAGTGACATGCCCTTTAAATTGGCAACAGAGCTTTCCGATGTAGCTGCTGAAATGCATAGGAATGCGGGAAAAAAGAAAACAGACATTGCTGTCTACCAGCTCACCTCACGGTTAGTGATAAAAACACGTTGATGGCGTGGCGTGGGGTTCCTCACTCTCCAAGTGGGGAACGAGTGGCGCAGGCCAAGTTGGCCAGGATGCGCACGTTCTACACGGTCGACTATGATGGTCGTCACGTCACATGTCCAGAGTGTGCTAACTTAACTTTATTGTTTTTACAAATGGATTGACCAACCCTACCATTTATCACAAATCTGAATATTAACGTTTTTCCCTTATGCGTGAAGTTATGATCTTATAACGGTAACATTAATAACTTTAGCGGATGAACTTCAGAATTTTCATTATTTTTTTAACGTTATAGACGATAACAATAATCGCACCCAAATTACTTTTCGTTTGTCGATTTAACGTTATCGTTTCGACCACAGAATTTTTGTTTTAGAATTGTCAATTAACTCAAAAAATATTAACATTGATCATCGCCCATAAGCGACAATTCTCGAATCAGAATAATTGAGTAGCGAAGTACACTACAGACGGCGTGGGGGGTTAAGTTTTAATGGTGTGTTCCGTGTACAACACAATTTCGGTACCATCCTGCGTTGGATAAAAGTACGGATGAACAGTTATGTAATTCATTGGGATGCAGGTTCTCTTCTCTCTCAATCCGGATATGGAGTGTGGATTGGGAGGGGGGTGGGGCTGATTCCCCGCAGCCGTCCCCAGGTACAGCTCAGCCGGGCCAGAGCAGAAAATGGACTTAAGCGATCAGCTAGTGAGGCAGACCAGCCTGCCATCGCGTGTAGAGGTTGTCTGTGCCGTGTGACATATGCGCTCTCTGTGACGTTGGGTCTACTACACCTAGTCGCGGTCGCATATCAATTCGAGAGATATCACTGTAATTCGAAGGGTGATACTTTTCACACATTTTCGTGTGATAAAACGCCCCGTGTGATTCCCACGATTTATCACTCCTGGGGAAGGGGTCAATTTTTATCACAAATTTTATGTGATGCCTGTTGCAAAATAATGCGATGATTCCGTCCGGATTTCCTACAAAACGGTGTGAAAGCACATCGCACAAAACTGTGATACATAAAAGTATCTCTCAAATGAGTGATGGTCATCACAAATATAAGCAATGAATTTAATGTTGTACTTTTCCTGCGATGATCATCACAACATCGCGCAATATTTCTGTATCACAGTAAACGTGTAGTCTGTGTCACACTCTGATATACAGTGATGGCAGTGTTAGTTCGAGCCGGCCCCCGCTAGAGGGCGTGCCACCGTCGTGCCTGTTGGACGGCGGTGGCACGCACTCTAGCGGGGGCCGGCTCCAACTAACACTGCCATATCCTTCGAATTGATGCCAAACCGGGGTTCGGCCTGGTAGACCAATCGCCCCATCAAATACACGTGAGTCCGCTGAACGGTAAAGTTCTCAAATGCGTTGACGATGTTCCACCGGCTGAGTCTGGGTTGGGCTTCAGCCTCTCGGACCGTGATTTACTTTTGATCTCGGGACTACACTGTTCCTGATATCACTACACACTTGTGGCACCAAAAACTCCAGTTTCCTATATCCACCGAACGTAGATGTGCAGAGGCACCCATTTGGTTGGATTCACATTTAACGTTATTTAGGTATCAACGAATGTTACGAGAGATAACGTTGTGTAAAAAACTTTTACACAAAGTTACAAGGTAAAACGTTATTTATATTTATTTTAGTTATCTTTTTTAACGTTAAGTCGAAAATCATTCGAATTTTTGGCGAAATATTTCAACTACCCGAAAAGAAATAAGTAATTTCCGTTAGTTTCCGAATTTTCGTTAATGTTAAGTTAAGTTTGCACACCCTTGCACATGTCTGGAGTAAGGGTGCGAACCGATTGAGACAAATGGCATGACTTGTTTTAGTCGTTGTCTGTACATTGTTTTGGGGACCCTACGTTAGCATATGCCATCCGACGCACACTGAAAAATGATGTTTCTATATCCGAAAGACACTATGTGTCGCTTATTTTGAATACCTCCTATATTTTAAAAAACAAACAAATCTACGATATCTGTTGTATGGTACGGGTTAACCTCTGGGCTTGGACGAATGAGGGGAAGGACTGCGAACTGCGCACCGCGGCCGGGCGAAAAAGCTTACACCCACTTAGCCGGGCCCACCTCGCGCGCCGTTGCCTACCTCCCAGGAGGGAGGGAGGCTGTCCGGCGCGGCCGTTATGCACGGGGCCTTATGGGCTCGTGGCGGCGCGCGGCACTTCTCGCAGTTCTATCTCCCAAACGGTGCGAGATAGAAGGTGGGTGTAAGCGAGCCGATTGTAGTTCATGGTTTAAGCTTTCCATCGGTGTAATTGGATGGCCGATACGACCCATACAGCGCAAATGGCGACCGGAGAAAGTTTAGCTACGCACAGGGGTGTTACTTTTCTCAGCCCCAGTGCCAAAACCGTAAAAGATGGATGGTGGGTGTAAGAGAGCCGATTGTAGATCAAGATTTAAGCTTTCCATCGGTGTAGTTGGATGTCCAATACGACCTATACAGCCCAAATGGCAGCATGAGGACAATCGTTGTCAGCGGCAGCGCTGCAGTGCCATCGCTTGTCACTCGGCTACTCGCTGCTGCGGCGGTGGGAGTGCAACGCCGCCGCTGACAACGATATTCCTTCGGTTGCCATTTGGGCTGTATGGACATCCAATTACACCAATGGAAAGCTTAAATCTTGATCTATAATCGGCTCGCTTACACCGATCTTTTACGGTTTGGGAGCTAAGGCCGCGAGAAGCGCCGCGAGAAGCGCCGCGAGAAGCGCCGCGAGAAGCGCCGCGAGAAGCGCCGCGCGTCGCGTCGCGCACCCAAGCCCCTGTGCATAGCTAATCTTTCTCTGGCTGCCATTTTGGCTGTATTGGTTGTATCGGACATTCAATTACAGCGATGGAAAGCTTACACCTTGAACTGCAATCGGCTCCCTTACACCCACCTTCACCTTCTATTTCGGACGGTTCCGTCGCGTAGTCGAGTTGCAAACCATGCCGTGCTAAGACTCACGGTAAAAACGAAGTCCCATTTTTTGAGGGAAAAGGGAAAACTTTGAGGGAGTCAGTAACTTTGAGGTGTCTTTCTTGAAAAATAAGAACGACCCTCAAAGTAAGTCACAAATTTTGAGGAAGTCCCTCAAAGTTAGCGTGGCTGCTGCTGCGCCCACCTCGCTACTTTAGAGCTTTGTAACAACTGATCAAATTGTCAGTTACCCAAATTTAATGTGTTTCTCTAAGTTTTAGAGCTGCGGAACTCGTCCTGCAAAGTTTGATGTGTGTACCATGAAAAAAAAACGAAACAGATTTTTTGAATGATTTACGTGTGCAAGTACGTCTAAAAGCACGTAAACCATTCAAAAAATCTGTTTCGTTTTTTCTCATGGTACACACATCAAACTTTGCAGGACGAGTTCCGCAGCTCTAAAACTAAGAGAAACACATGAAATTTGACCAACTGACAATTTGATCAGTTGTTACAAAGCTCTAAAGTAGCGAGGTGGGCGCAGCAGCAGCCATGCTAACTTTGAGGGACTTCCTCAAAATTTGTGACTTACTTTGAGGGTCGTTCCTATTTTTCAAGAAAGATCCCTCAAAGTTACTGACTCCCTCAAAGTTTTCCCTTTTCCCTCAAAAAATGGGACTTCGTTTTTACCGTGCTAGCACAAATAGCGTGTCAAATTAGCACTTGTTTTGAGCATTGACAAATGGCCAATTGGCAGTTGAACCGAATTGTTCACCTAATTTACCAGATTTGCGAATATGTGTCAGGACACGGGGCAGTGAACAAAGCGTATACCAAGTATTACTGTGCCACTTTCCTGTTTTAGAGCCGTCGAGCATTCAAGTTTTTGGCGAACAAGAATTGAAAGTCAGGCTGTTGTCGTCATCTTAAGAATTGGGTCGATATAGTAGCCCTTACCGAAGAAAGTAAAAACATCAAGGATTACCGTCCACTTACAGCTGCTAGCAGAAAACCACTACAGACGCAGACGGAGACACCAAGTGTAAGCCACACTTGATCAGAGAACTCGTCCACAATTAGCCGAAGAGCGTTTGGTGCACGCCCAGCACCCTGTAGAGCAGGATAGAGCAAAGAACTACTGTTGGTATATTTTAAGTACGTAACTTTCCCTTCTTGCACTAGGATCTCGCAAAACACTGTTGATATTTTTTCTGTTAACACTAGAAGGACCGGGGTTATCGTATAATTAGACAGGAGGGGTCATTTTGACCCCTTTTCGATTTTTGCCCTTTTTTATGGCTTCAAGGCTGCAGTTTGATCGCACATAATTAAGGTTTTGTGTGTTTCAAGGTGCCTGATGCCATGAGGTGACATTGGTTAGGTTTAAAGTGCGTTTAGGTAGGCAAACCCGCACGGCATAAAACAATTTTTTTGCAATTTTTCAGCTATTTCCGCGAACTGTTCGCACCAGTTTAGACATTTTTCAACTTCAAAATTAATAATCGACTTAGTACACATTTGTAAGTGTGTGATTTTTAGAACACGTAAGTACTCAAAAAGCAGGAGTGTGATCCACACAAAAACATTTTATTTTTTACCAATTTGGTATTGACAACAATGTGCGTGGCAGTTTTGGCATTCGCAAAACCATCCGCACTTTGTGCTACCCCTCGTTGCCCTCGGACCACGATTCCGGTGACGCAACTACCACTAAAGCCTTGGATGTGATGTGATTTAGAAACTGGATTTTGTGACGTACGTGTTGCCTACCTTCACCGAATGAAGGAGTTTAAAAGTGTCACATGGCCGACCAAAAGTCATTAGATACCCTAAATAACCTATACGGTCTGCCTTCTTAATGAAAAGTCGGTCCTCGTCAGGTTACACCTATAAAATCTCGCGCAGGGGTCGAAATGACCCCACGGTCCTTCTAGGTATAAGTAGTAATATCTTCGAAAGTTCTTGTCGCAGACACCTCATATTTTGCGTCCAAGCGTCTTTCGGTAGTACATGAAAAGTCGGAAAGTGATGAATCGGTCAAAAAATTATTCATAGTTCCTCTGGCAATGAAACATCAAAAGGGGTCATTTCGTTAATGTACACAAATGTCAGTCACTCGCAGTTACTGTTATAAATGCCTTAAGGGACAAGAAAGCATTCTTTTAATTCTTGATGCGTCCTTTTGCGTGCCAAGTTTTATGATTGTAAACTATTTTTCGCGAGGGCGGGGAGGAAATGGACTACTCAGAGAGCAAGGAATTGTTGGGATGATATCCTGACGCAGCCAGAAAATGAAACAGGTAGAGTAAGATGCCAAATGATGGACACCCCCTTTTTCTTGGAATGTAAATGACGGAGCGAGGTAGTTTTTGGCTTATTATATCCCGGTAGGGGTCTTACTAGAACATAAGTTCCGTGCCAAGATCGTAGGTGACGAGTTTGGCGGCAAATCGAGAAAAGTGTCCATCACTGGTACAGTGTCCATCACTGGTACAGTGTCCATCACTGGCCTACAGTGTCCATCACTGGGCACCTTACCCTACTCCAAAATGTGTGTTCTAGAATGGTTTCTAAATTCAAAGCCAATTATTTACTATAAAAAACTCATCGTAATTACCTTTGGTACTGTCCACGTAAAGCAGGTAAGGCGACTATGGCTTACGGCCTCGATGTAACGCAGTCTATTTTCTGTTAGTGTGGCCAGCAGAACAGTCATATCCGTCTTGTTCGCGACCAACTCGTACACAAAGGCAGCAATCACCTGTGTAGGGGTAGAAGCGTCTCAATAAGACTAACGTACTGAGTGCTTTTTTAGAAGGTAAAACCAATGTCTGATTCTTTTGAGGGAAAAGGGAAAACTTTAAGGGGAACTCTCTTGGTCGGAGAAAAACACCTCCGATTTCAAGGAGCATACCTCAAAAATGTGCGATTTCCTCGCTTTTGGAGAACATTCCTCAGGTGTCGCCCCCGTTTATTTTCTGTCAGGATTTTAGATCCTTAATGAAATTGTTCTTTTTAGCCCGCTCTTTTGCTTAAAAGCTATATAAGCGGGCTTATGCCATCGCCCCTGTGTCTGTCCGTCCGTCTGTCCGTTCCCCAATAAGGACGTGAGCTAGAGGTCTGAAATTTTCAGGGTATTGTTGTTGTCACTTCTGGACAACGAAACGGTTGGTGCAAATCCTGGCAACCACCCCTGAGTGGGTCTGAGGGGGTAACAAAGAAGTAGGGGTTGGTCCAAGAAGTGGGAAAAAAATATTTTCTTATGAGCTCCTAAGGGTTAACTTGTGAAAGTAGAGCATCAATGACTAAAATTTTGTCCGTTTGGCTCTATCTCTCATTGTTCAGGCGCTAGAGGGAGTTTTCGTCACAAAAATGGCCCAAAAATTTATATGTTAATTAAGGCAAATATTTGATGGTTTCCAAAGGGGTAAATCGTGAAAGAACCCTCTGATCAAAAAAGTCGTCCGTCTGGCTTTCACTGTTTACTTTCAAAAGGGGGTTTTTCTTACCAATATGGCCAAAACAGAAATATTTTCATTTTTTTTTCAGGAGTACACTTTTGTCTGAGAAGTATGACGTCGGTTTACAATATTCTTTAAAGCAGAAGAGTGGGCTTATTTTATGGTGGCACATCATTCACAAAATGTGTACACTCCCATTCAAAAAAACAAAGAAAAACACATTTATTTCGTTGTTCGGACACGTTTGGAGTCATTCAGAGTTGGCCTGGAAGTGTATTTAAATTCTTCTAGTCTTATATATTTTTTCATAGGTGTGTTATTGGATCCATAAGCTAACATCAATAACTTAGAAGGGATTTGGTATAACTTGCATGTATTCTTCAAACTGCGGCACACACAGTAGGTTGTTTCATTTTGAGGGGTCAGGACGCCAAATTTTCTGAAGCGAGGTTTTTTTGAAAGTTTATGTCATGCTGATACTCATGGAAAAAACCCGGGGCCTGTGCGATGAAGGGAACCCGGCGCAACCCGCGCTCAAAGTTTTTTGGGTGTTTTGGCGGGTATCACGACCGACATGTTCTCGGGCCCGCTGTGCGGGGGCGCCGCCGCCGCCGACCGCGCCCGTTCCTGTGGTGACTTACCTATGGTATGTACTTCCTATCGGACATGGTCCGACCCGCCCTCTCCACCCCCCTCAGGAGCCAGGGCGTAAGTACTCAAAAACCAGGTACCTCGCTCTAGACCGAGTACCGTTGATGATATGGGAACGCCGCCTGCGAGGAAAGGTAGCCGGACCGAAGGGCTATCGAGCCCCGAATAGCGAGAGCATAACGTTTTTCTGCGTCATAGCAAAAATGCGAATGGAAGTGGCCGGGTGCCGGGAGACGCATTCAAACGGCGCGCGGGAAACAGGGACGGTAGGCGGTATAGTACGCTCCCCGCTCTAGTCGTTAATGGTAAACCAAACACGGGTATTGCATTGACTGGCACTGCTAGCAGACTGCTTGCGACGAGCGTCAGCCTCTATTACGTTCCTACCCGAGACAGCAACGCAGCGCCAGTGCCAACACAAGCCCACAAGCACATCGGTGAGTGAGCAGGAGGGCTGCATTTATGCAAGCGCACTATACCGCCTGCGCGTCAGCGTTTCCCGCCTGCCGTTTGAATGCGTCTCCCGGCACCCGGCCACTTCCATTCGCATTTTTGCTATGACGCAGGAAAACGTTATGCTCTCGCTATTCGGGGCTCGATAGCCCTTCGGTCCGGCTACCTTTCCTCGCAGGCGGCGTTCCCATATCATCAACGGTACTCGGTCTAGAGCGAGGTACCTGGTTTTTGAGTACTTACGCCCTGGCTCCTGAGGGGGGTGGAGAGGGCGGGTCGGACCATGTCCGATAGGAAGTACATACCATAGGTAAGTCACCACAGGAACGGGCGCGGTCGGCGGCGGCGGCGCCCCCGCACAGCGGGCCCGAGAACATGTCGGTCGTGATACCCGCCAAAACACCCAAAAAACTTTGAGCGCAGGTTGCGCCGGGTTCCCTTCATCGCACAAGCCCCGGGTTTTTTCCATGAGTATCAGCATGAAATAAACTTTCAGAAAAACCTCGCTCTGGTATAGGTAATTTTTTTTGAAACAGCCTAACACACAGCCAAAGATGATCCGCGTATGAAAATAATGTCTCGTTTGTTGAGTTTTGATTACGAAATAGACATCAAAGGTTTCTGGTAAAAAGCTGGTTCAAAGCGAGCAGTCACTCAAACGGGCCGAAGGCCCGTTTTCCGATAGATGCTATATTACACCATGAGGATTCAGAAGGCCCGTCTCAAACGCCGCCGGCAGGCCAAGCTAGGCCCGCTCCCTGCCGAACTGAGTTACCAGTGGAGCGAAGCGGAGCTGGCAACTTGGTTTGGCGGAGGAGCGGGCCTAGCTTGTTAGCTTGTTTCCTGATGCACGTGGTCGCTTTCTCACTTTCTCGTTTTCTATTTGTTCCCTCGCGGGAAGCTCATCGGTGCTGAAGTGGACGAGAGATGTGAAGTTGTAGCGTTCGGCCATAATGGTGACGAATGCTCCTAGGATGCCACCCATTCGCACGCAAGTGTCCCCTACTCCTGAAATGCAGTGCGATGGACCATTATGAAGATACTCTTAATTGGGTCAACCCTTGCTTATCGATAATTAGTGGAATCCACCAAGTTGGCCACGACTCAACCAAATTTCCTACACATAATAAATGCTTACGCCGGATTGAAAATCATAACCTTTTAGTCTGGCCTTTTCTACACTGAAATTAAACTACCTAGTGCGATGCTGACTCCCAAGACGAGGTAGTAGGAGGGATACGGACGTGAATATGGCTTTGCGGGCCCGCACGCTTGAAATCCTAGCTGTAATTCTCGGGGCCTCATCACTCCAAAATAAGGTAAATGGAACTGAAGCTACCGTCAAAATGTCTAATTCCGGGCATTTTTGACCGTTTTTTCTACGTTTCATTTATACGCTGCGAGATACGAAAAATCCCAACGGAATCTAGAAGTGGCATATCAAGACATATATTTTCCGCCCCTCAAAGATTTTTTTCCTGCACATAAGCACCTATGAGTGTCACAAAAAGACTGTCCGGAGTTAAACCAGAAGTAAGGGTAAATCCGGACACTAGTCAAATATTGTCAAGCAGCTGCTCAAAGTAGTGTCCTATGTTCGAAATGGGCGTTTTCAGACTCTCGGAAGCTCCTATGCAGCAGCGGGTACGAGGGGTGGATAACTCCTGAATTGGGTGTACAAATTTCAAGAATTGAATTTGAATTATCTTGAATTGGCTTGAATTGAATTTGAATTGGACTGAATTGGTTGAATTGGTTTGAATTATTGCGATTTTATGTTACTGAATTAGCGTGAATTGGCTTGAATTGACTTGAATTGAATGTACATTGTCTTGAATTAGACTGAATTAGTTGAGTTAGTTTTGAACTTGTTTGAATTAAATTGAATTGGTCTGAATTAGTTTGAATTGGGCAGAATTAGGGGTGTACACTTGGCAGGGGAGTTATCCACCCCTCGAGCGGGTAGCGTTGATTTCCTCACCGACACATCGGATACTCAAAATGAACAGAGCACATGAGTGAAAAATCAGTTTTTGATATTTTTGAAAATGGAGAATATGACTGAGGTCTTTGAAATGTTTGTCATGCCATTCTGAAAGCATTCCGCGTGTGCAAAGGACCAAAGCTCAAAGGTCTTTGTCATTCTTTTCAATAAAAAAAAAACCAAAACTGATTTTGCCCATTAAAGCCCTGTACATTTTGGGTAACCAAGATGGCGATAATTAAAGGAACGCTGTCCGATGCTGCTTAATCCTCAGACCAATGAAGACGACGTCTACCATATGCACTGCAAAATGCTTGCAAAGAATAGGTTCGTATTGCAAACTTTTTCTTTGCAGCTTGCAAAGAATTTTCAAGCATCGTAATACGAACTAGCTCTTTGCAAGCTTGCAAACTATTCCTTTGCAATGCAAACACATTGTTTGCAAGGATTCTGCCAGCTTGCAAAGAACTTCTTTGCAATACGAACTAATTCTTTGCAATACAAAGCTCACAAATTCTTTGCAACGTTGCAAAGAATATAGTTTGCAAGCATTTTACAGTGTGCGTTATACAATGACGACCGATTATTCGATTTTGAGAGTAGAAGTATAGTTGCAGAAAACTAACACATGACCATTAAGACGTGCTGACCCTTCCGGGGGCAGTGGCAGTTCCATCGCTTGTCACGGAGGTCTCAGTGACACTGAGGGCACTCGGAGGCTAAAGGGGGCGCTAGCGCTGTCCCATGCATCCCCCGAGCAATACCCTGCGATAGTAGGAATCGACTAAAGCTAAGCCGTGTCCGGAATTGCACAGGTTTACTAAATCGTACCCACAATTTTTATTTGTCGTCGAATTTATTGAGGTAGTTGGACTGCTAAATAATAGGAGCTTCACGTCCCAAACGCGTTTCAAAGTAGCTAACATAGTTTTTTTTGCAATAACCCTTGCATTTGAGACTCTCAAAGTCATGGAAAAACGGCCTGCTTGAGATATCCAATTCACTGACACGTAGAGCCTAAACCAAGACAGATCAAGAGCAATCCACGAAGCCACTACTTTTCTTCAGCAAATCGCGTGACACACTGTTAAAGTCTTACGAAGAAAAAGTTCCGACCAGAAACGGATCGTGAAAGCAGATGATACCTTGTCAAGAATTATTCTATTCCAGTCTATTATATTTCTGTATTTACACTTGTAGGGAAGGGGGGGGGGCGGTGCGGGGGCTCCAGCGGTGGGAGGGAGGGGGAGGACTAGCGTAGACTAGCGCGGCCGACGGCTCGGGGCTCGGGCTCCGGTCGGCTCGGCTCCGCTCGGCTCGGTTCCGCCCGGCTCGGCTAGTGGCTCGGCGCAACAACGCGTAGCGCGAGCGACGCGACGCGACGGCCTCAGCCGCCTCACGGCCCCGCCTAGCGCAGCTTGCTATACGTTCTCTTTAATATTTCTTAATCGAGAGTTAAAGCAATGACACCTTACATTACTCATGTATAGTTATGTTTAGATATATTTAGGTGTAAGGTTGTAAGGTATCATCTGCTAAAAATGCCAAATCCTTTGTAATACGAAGGATTTGGACGCTTCGTAGGGAGCAAATCCTTCGTAGGTACGAAGCATTTGGCATTTTGCTTCGTAAGACTTTAACTGTGCAGGAATGGTCGGGCCACAGGCCCGACCATCGCCGCCGGCAGGCCAAGCAGGCCCGCCCGAGGCCCGCCCCCTGCCGAACGCGGAAGGGCAGGCCTGCTTGTTGACACTTTAGCCCGCCCCTCTGCTTTTAAAAAGGCATGAAATCGGACTTGTGCAACCGCTCTCGTGTCCGTTAGTCCGTCCGTCGTGCGTGTACGAGGAAGGGGATGAGCTAGAGGTTTCAAAATTTCAGGGTATCTTAAGGTATACTCCCTCAAAACGAAATGCCTACGGCAAATCCTGTTCATCGAACCTAGCGGTGAAAGGGGTGACAAAGAAATAGGGGTTGTTCCAAAAAGTAGGAAAATAATATTTTTTGGGGGGTCTTTTAAGGGCTAACTCGTAGAAGTAGAACCCTTCGAGCTAAAATTTTATCCGTTTGGCTCTAATTTGCACCATTTGGGTGCTAGAGTGTTTTTTTTTTCTACGAAAATAGGGTGAAAATGAACACGCTGTAGAGCAACTGAAACTATTTCGGATCAGATTTTCGTTTTTCCTCGCTGTGCCACAACACGCGAGTGGTAGAACCGCCACGACTCGAGGTAATGATAGTCGACTTCTTCCTTTACAATTCGCAATTTTTTTGAGGGTTGTAGCTGCACCCGTTTCGGAGATATAAGAGTTGGCCGAACGACGAGTTTTGATCCGAAATAGGACTTGTAAACCTGGTTCGGATCAGCGAAAATACTTTCACAGCCAAATCGTCACTAGACCAATAAAAAATCATTCGATACCATAAAAGGCTACTCGGAGTACCCTAAAATAATGTTTTCACACAAGTCCGACACGTGATGGAAAGTGTTATCATGTTCATATTTTAGTTTGCAAAAATGTCAATTTTTTAAGATTCTCCCAACCTTTAAAACATGCTTCTTTTAGTTCATACTCGTCTTGTACTCCACTGTTCGCACCCAGCTTATTGTAAGCGAATTAAAAGACGGAAGGAAGGTCCGTTCTTTCAGCGAAAAAAATAAGGTACCCAAATTTTAGTTCTGCATTGGAACTACAGACAGTTGATCCGAATAAGGGACTGATCCGAAACCGGTTCAGTAGCTCTACATAAAGACGCACAAGGAGGCGTCAAACCGTAAAATGGCAGAGGAAGAATCCCCTCCAAACAGCACACTCTGGATCGAGTCTAACTTCGGATTTGCCGTATCTTGAACCGTATCGGAGCTAAAGGTAGATGTATTTCGAACAATGGCAAACAGTCAATTTTTAAGACTGTTTGACAAAGAATACGTGCTAAAAACTACACTTGTTCATTTTCCTTTTTTTTATTCCTTTCCAAAGCAGAAGTGTGGGGTGTAGTCACAGTCTTGCATCGTTTGTCGCGATGCGCCAAAAATATTTCGCTTGACTGCCGCCGGGAGGGTAGGCAGCCACGCTCCCACCACTCCTTCCCGCGCGACAGCAACGAGTCGCCACTCCCACTCCCCAGCCGCCGACGCGCCGCTCCGGATCTCCGCCTGACGCCACGCCTCGCTCCGCCACGCCCCCACTCCTCGCCGCTCGCCAGTCTGCGGTTGGAAGCCAAGCCGGCCGGTTCGCTCCCGTCAACTCGCGTGCCGCGCCGTGCTCCGTGCCACGCCACATGTGTGCCTGATTTTCTAACGTTGCCTCGTGCTCGTAGGCTATTAGCGCCTTGCGCTCAAGTTAATTTATTCACCATGACCGCAAGAATCGTCTCGCCCACAAGGGGTGTGTCAACGGCAGCAAGCGACGAGGTATTGTTTGATGGAACATCTATAGTAACCTGTACACTTTGTACACAGGGCTTCTCTTGCCGGGCGTGAGTCTGCCATGATGGGCTAGGCTCACCCATTTCGCCCTGCTTCCGTGTCCCTGCTGCTACTTCACCGTCATCATCATCATCAACCGCTGGTAACTGGCATAGGCAAGGCAGCGTCTAGAGCTGGGAGGGTGCTGGCTTCATGAAACTTTACAGCAAGAAAACACGGGACGATTTACACCATTATAAATTGATTATATCCGATTGAAAGGAAACAAAATGATAAAAATTACAAGTTTTAATTCATTTTGAATAATTTTACTGAGTGGTTATGTCACATTTAACCTTTTACAACTGCTAGGTTCAGATTAACAGTTGGTGTTCATGGAATCCAGAATTCGTCTGCTTGCCCGCAGACAGCCGGCCTGTGTGTGCAAAAAAAAATTGTATTTTTCTTTAAATTGCGTTTTTGAATTATTATAAGAAATCTAAGATGTAAGTATGTGGAGTTATTTAGGGCAAAGTTTGAATTTTTAATTGCATTAATTTCCATCATTCACACAATTTTCTCATCAACATGTGCATCTTCAAAACAGCTGATTGGCTC